ATCTTTTTCTATCTTTTGACTGTCTTTCTTCATTTACTTCTTTTTCTTCCATTTCCATGTCTTCGTTAATTTTTATTCTTTCTCCTTTTTATCTCAAAGATATCTACGATTTACTTTCTGAATAAATTTTTGTTATCCTGTCTGTATCCTTGTATGTCTTCCTTTATGTTGTCAATCTTGTTACCCATTGCTTTCTCATTTTGTTTAATCTGTTCCCATATTTTTTAACCCTTCCATTTTCTCCTTTATCATATTTTTTATTTTCATCCTATTTCTTATTATTTTCTTATCCAATTTCTTATTATTTTCTCATCCAATTTCTTACTGTATTTATCCCTAACCATCGTACTGATTTTACTAGTTATCCATCTATTGATCTGTGAGACCAGGCATTGTGTCTTGCTGCCATTCTTAAAAAAAATTAAATATTATACTTTCCTATATATTAATGGAATTTTTCTGAATTTTGTTAGTTGCCTCGTGTAATTTTTTTTTTCGCAGTTTTTGTCAAGTTAAATGGCTTACAATATTCAAGTGACAAAATTGGGATAGCGGCTGATGAGGAAAACATTTGCTGATAGTTACGACTTACGGGGTATACGAATCTTTTCCCGAACAATAGCGTCAAACAACGGTTGGTCAACGACAAGAGCTAGTGATTCAGCAATCTGATGCTCAGAAATGTTACGAGTCAACAACAGGAACTGAACGAAACTTCATTGAAGTCATTATTGAAGTTCATTTAATGGGAGACCAAAGATATTGTAGTTTAACTACTGTGCTATTATAAATTTTTATAAAATTATTTTTACAAATATATTTAAATATTATCTAAAACTCGGAACTTTAATCTTCGAATGATCCTAGCAAAAAGTCGGCCCTTGATAAACCCCTTCCTCTTTTTGGAAAAAAGTGACCCATACAGCTCAAAGTTACTGCTTGAAAGTCACATTACTGATTTTTCTCTTAACTATGATTGAGCTCTATAAGCTCATTTTCTAATATAAATTTGTGTTATTTTCCAACAGTTCCTGGAAGTATACGTCTATCAAAGTCACTTCAACTAAAAGTTTGGACAGAAAATATTTAGCAAAAGAACTGCCTTTAACTTCGAATGATTAAGACATCGAATATGTCGATGAAAAGATATTTAGTTAGACATTCTATGTCTTTAACTCAACGTTTAATAACAATATGTGCTACTAATGGTAATTTTTATAATTTTATATATTAATGGCAGTATCAGTTTCAAATTCTAATACAGCGTTTTTTAAACTATGTTCGACAGAAACCCATCACTCAAGAGTTTTGCTAAACGAACTTTTATAATAACATAAATAACTTAAAAAAAAATTAACATTTCCATGAACAAAAAAATATATATATTAATTTGAATATAATAAATATTTTAATTTCTGTTGCAAATAATGCAGGTATAAAATATTTTTTTCTGAGATTGCAATCTATTCATTTTGATCAATTAGCAATTTTAATCTAACTTATTTTACTTATTTTAATTTTGCTTAATAGTCGTTTCATGCTCTCTAATACAATAAACGTGTAAGTACCGCACTAGCTCTGCTTTTGCACTTGCACACAATTAACTAACGCATATGGCTTCGTCCTCTTAAAGCGTCTCGTCTAGTTGAGATTGTAAAGGAGCAGAATGACCTCAACATTCACGTGGTATAAGACTGGTTGTACGTGACTCTTGACTAACTTGGTGTTCGTCTGGTTAAGAGTGTCAATCCTGGAAGTCCCAAAGAAGGTCGCTGTTTAAGTAATACCAAAGAGCATTAACATTGTTCCTTAGTACTAAATTTTGAAAATGGATGATCTGTATATTGCTTTCTTTGGTACAGCTCCAAAGCTGGTTTTTTTGATTTACATGATATCATTTTATTGTATGTAGACAAATTGAAGTTACATTCCAATATCCAATACTTCTTTGAATTTAATCCCCAACTCGTTTCGTTTCTTCTTGACGTGGGCTTTTAGTATCTAAGGTAATAGGTATTTTAATATGTTGGCGTAGGGTATCTGGACATTATTTAATATAAGTTTTTTTTTTGTTGGTGAAATTTACATGCGCTGATTTTGTCTCGATTAGCTTCATTCTTAATCTTTTAATCAAGGTGTAGATCTGAGCAACAGTGATTTGTAGTTTAGTAACAACCTTTTCATAGACTCTAATAACAGCCAAAATAACTATGTGACTATGGTATTAATTTCTATATTCGGAATGCAACTAGTGTATAATAGGTAAAGTACACTTCCTTGTGGCATTTCCACTTTGATTTTTCTTAACTCTCTAATACACTTCTTCTTTTTTCATTTTGAAAACTGTTCGTAAAACATAAAAAAAATTGCGGTTGTGAGTACTGTTTAGGCAGATGACATCTTATATTGGGCCACACTTTGTCCAAAGTATGTGCTACATTTAAAAAAATTGTAAAATACATTTTCATTTCTTCTAATGCATTTTCTATTAGACCGTCAGATAGTGTGACAGGTTTAGGTGCCCCATTTTCGCATGAAAACCTCGAAGAGGGTTGAAAAGAACTGTAAGGGGTTTTCTCGCCTCAGAGAAAACGATTACTTACAAATGACGCCTGTTGACGGGACGGCTCTCGGGCGCCAGATTTTGTGTGTGGTTTACTCCACAAACTTTCGAAACGGCGTCGAAAGTACTCGGGCAGCACAGATGGAGATGAAAAATTCCAGGGGTCGTTGCTCACTCAGACACAGGTAATAAGTAACCACAAGTAACGGGCTTTAATCGTGACTTGTGGTGATAAAGAATTTCTCACTGCTGAAATAAAGGGGGAAGTAAATTAGGGATCAGTAACCTCAGTAACAGTCAAGGTAACGTTGACACATATATTGAATTTAACTATTTACAACAAAAAAAAATAAATATTTCAACGCCCACCCCCGCTCGTATTTTTAAAACCCTGAACAAAAAGAAAAACAAACAGATCGGCTTTGATTAGTCTTAATCAGACGGTATAATTAAAATTAAAAGAAAGATGTTCGGTAACTAATTAATAAATTGTCGTTTCGGTGGTTGAGCCAAAACGAAATCAAAAACAAAATTACTATTTTAGTTAAAGAAGAAAAATGGCAAATAATTGCGGTCGTAGCAAAAGTTAGCTAGTTAACTGTTAAATCGGTAAAAAGATTGAAGTTAAATATTTTGTTTCGTAAAAGTAGAAATAAAATCACGGTCGTAGAAAAAGTTATCTGGTTAACTATCTAGTCGGTATTGAAACTGAAACAAACCTCCTTGTGTTATTGAATAGGGAATAGATAAATGATAAGAAAACGGGATAGTATCAATCCTATGAGAAGTGTACTCGCCAAAACCAGCCCGCTCAACATAAAAATGATACTATCATTTTAATCACGGCGCGGAGGTAACAAAAAAAAATAATCAAAAACCGGGTTAGCATTCAATCCCATGATGAGTGTACTCACCAAAACCAGCCCACTCAAACATAAAACAAAATATTAAACCGGGTCATTATTTATCCTATGATGAGTGTACTCGCCAAAACCAGCAATCTCAAACATAAGAAAAACACTAATATTTTAATCACGGTTAGGGGTTAATAAAAAAAAAATCTAAAACCGGGATAGTATCTAATCCCATGTGAGCTTTCTCGCCAAAACCAGTCCACTCAACATGAAAAATGATACTATTTCAACTTTCGAACTAATTCTATTCCCAAGTAAAGAAACATAAATAATAAAAAAAAGTTAAACCAGATTGTGAACAAATAGAAACAAAATTTACGGTCATAGTAAAAGTTAAGTAATTAACTATATACGGAATTTAATTTAAATTTAAATTTATTATTACTTAAAAAAAAATACACGGTCGCAATGAAAATTAAGTAATTAACTGTATACGGAATTTAAATTGAAATTAGGTTTACTATTACTCTGAAATAGAAACACAATCCACGGTCGCAATAAAAATTAAGTAATTAATAAAATAGAAACAAAATTTTACTTCCTAATAACCAAAACTAATTTCCAATGTTTATAAAATCAAAACTAAATAATTTATCTGTAAATCAAAATATTTTTAACGAAAATCTAAAGTCAATTATTATTTCTATTAAATAAAATCGAAATCGGAATAATTTAGTCAAATAAAACTGGTATTCGAACGTTTAGCTCAAGAACCGACGACAGGAAAAAAAAACGTAAACAAATTCGGTGTACCTAACTACGGACTCGGCGATGATTTTACAGCGGCGTATATCGAAGCAGAAGCAGCAGAAGCTAGTCGAATCGGTAAAGTCAATTGAATGATTTTTAATAATAAAATCTGAATCCGAGTCTCTATGCCCAAGCAGGCTAGCTCCCACTCGATGTGCGCGTATCGCGCGCGCTATCGTTACTCAGGTATAATACGCGAATTTAAATAAAACAAAATTTTATATACAGGGTCTACCCATGAAGTTAAAATAAAATAAAAATTGAAATTTATATCCGGAATAGGCCGAAATATAGTAATGAAAATTGACTTCATTACAGAACATCGATTTTGAGTAGATTAAAAGGAAATTTACCAGTGGCTCCTCGGGATAACATATCAAAATGTCTATATTCCTTAATAGAAATAACAGGTGTTTGTTGCCCATATTTTCACACAAGTCGTGTTCACTAGATGATTAACTAATAAAACTAAGCTTTGTAAAACCAAAGGCTTTAATGTTGTAAGTTGCTAAAGGGTTGAAATAAGAGATTTTAACCGATTTTTCCACCAAACAAGCCCATCGAATGAATGAAAACGTACATCGTCCTAAAAACTGATTGACTTAAGTGAACTGAATGGGCAAGTGCATTTTGGGGTCGCAAACTATTTCTGTTAAGGAAAATAGAATTTTTCATATGTTATCCCCAAGAGCCAGTGATTATTGCCTTTCTCCATAACTTACATTTGAAAAAGAATGGAATGTTTTTTAAAAGAAAAGAATTAAACGGCATAATAAATAACATAACGTTTATTCTTACAATTAAAATACAATATGTACAATCTTAAATTAGCAATATTATTATTTTTCGCACTTTTATTACTTTCATTTCGCAAAATACTGTTCTATTGTGGGCCTTCAAAGTATTTTAATATATAAACAGACTTATTATTTTTATTTGGATTCAGAAAAGGACGGTTGATATTTTTTATTAATTACAGGCACCAATAATACATAACACAAAGGGTGCACAAAATAATTTTTTTTGTAACAAATAAAAAAAATTATATCGGTATATAACATAACACAAAGTGGTGCACAAAATAATTTTTTTTGTAACAAATAAATTTATATCGGTATATAACATTGGAGTTTATTTTCTCTATTTTATTAAAATTTTCTTCACTTTTAAGGAATGCTCAGATGAACAATTTTAAAAACGTATGCAATAATAAACAAAATTATTAAAATAGGTGGTATATTATCATTGTAAAAACCGTTATATTTAGTATTTAGATAGTTAAAGGATTTTTAGGAAATTGTAAATTTAAAGTATCCGTATTTGTCTGTGATTTAAAATAAAAAATCTTCAAATACACAGTAATTACATGTACAAGAAGAAGGTTGAACAAACTAAAGTAATAAATCCATTTTTGTAGAAAAACATTTAAAAAAAAACATCTAGGCCTATGTACATTATAATTTTTACATTTTAATCATCCAATATTAAAAATTAATGAATATGAAATGTTTATAGGGTGGTACTTCATTAACAATCTGAAATCAGTTCTGGAGGTCCTACAGGATACTGCTTGAATTTACATTATCCGAATTTTGAGGGTATTCATTTTTCTATATTGGCCATAATTATCAAAAATACTTAGTTTATCAACTTGAAAATTGACAACTTTATGTTTTCAAGCACAAAAATTCTCAACATTTTTCACTTTTCTCATAGAGGGCGCTGCTTATAACATTGATTTGATAAATAAAATTGGTCATAACTTTTTACACTATACGTATTCAAGAGAACGGCACTTCAAATATAACCATAAAATTTCAAATTTTGTAATTTTGTATGCATTTTAGAGAATTACAATTTATTTTGTCAAAAGTATGGTCAATTATTCAACCAGATACAATGAACCACCCACTCGGTTGATGATTCGTTTAAAATAATGCAGTTTGAAGCGTACGAGTCGTAAAAGGCAGTACAAAACACCAATCCAGTGTTACACCCCTTAGCCTCAATTCTCGACTTTTTTTCCCATGGGAAAAAGATAATTTTCCTATGGGAATTTATATTTTGTATTCTCGACACATCCACTAGGAATGTTTTTTCGTGAAAAATATGGGACCAAATACACTTGGAAGTTGGCATGGGAAATCAAATTTCTAATGGAAATATTTAAGGTATGTTCCAGAAACGATCAGAAACCAGTCACTGACACCAGGATTATGCGCAATAAATTATTGGGACCGCCAACTTCTCTACTGCGCAGAATCCTGGTGTTATTGACTGGTTTGTGATCGTTGTTGGAACAGATCTTTGGTAATGGATTCTATTGAATCAAAGTTAATCTGTTACCAGTCAGTAAAATTTGCTATTTTCTTGTTACTTTAAATAATAATATTACTATTTTTAATATATCTTCTTTTTTAAAATGGGTGAAGTGAAAAAATGAGGCAAAAGATCCCTTTCAATCTATAAATAAAACAAACATTATAAAATTATTTAGACTATCAAATGATAGGTGGCCTCTGATCTACTTGCAGATATCGAAATTTTTTTCTCTGACCTATTTTTTTCTTTGTATCTATCGTTGTATCGATCACACAATTAATTTGTTTTAAAGCGAGGAAAGAACAAAAATCAAAAACTGACATTATTTATCATCATTGACATGAGAAGAATCAATCTCCCCAACACAACAACTTGAAAGTATTGAAATATCTTAATTATTATTGGTCAGTTTCCAACATTTTCGTATTTAGTACCAGACATACGTTGGATATACGAATAATCAAAATTCCCATACGAATTAGATTCCTAACCTAGTGGAGAATACCGTTTTAAAATACCACTGGACAATAAGCAGTGGAATTTTTACTATGGGAAAACTTTCCTAAAAAGTCGAGAATCGAGGACCTGGGGGATTTTTCCATATCATGGGACTTTTTACTGCAAAAATAAGGAAAAGAAGGGAAAAGATGAATGCCTATTTAAAATATGTGAATTTTTGGTACAATCGGTTTGACCACGTTGATTTTGGTCGATCCCCTACAATCGTATACTTTTCTTTGTGTAATTATTTGGTTGCGTCGTCAGTTAAAGTTAGTTATCAGTGATCTGATAAAATTGACAATTCTAACAGTAGGTACCGTCTTAAAAAATAAATTATATTGATTTTTGGTATTTTGATTTAGTATTTCACTGATGTTCTAGTTATTTTTAAGTTTTTAATGTTTGACTATTTTATAGAACAAATAAAATAAATGTTTTTTTTTTTTAATCGGAAAATAATTTCAAATATTGGGAAATATTGTGGGAGTTTTTAAATTTTGTGTGTTAAAGTGGATTTTTTTGTATATGTCAGAGACTTTTTGTTAAAAATAGGTTAGAAACAATGCCCAGGGTTCTTTTGAAGTTATTGATTAACTACATTTTTTTCCAGAAAAGGCAGAGTGATTAAAACTGAACCATTAGTACCAAACATGCGTTAATCACAAACATTTCTTTTGTTTTACCCTTTGAAACTATTTTTGATGACTATTTTTGAAGACTATTTTTGAAGACTATTTTTGAAGACTATTTTTGAAGACTATTTCCCAATACTAGATTTGATTAAGTTCACTGTTTCGCATATTAATAAACTTTTTGTATTGAATGTTAATATTTATTTATTTTTTTCACGTATTAAATCGAGATGTGGTCTATTTGTAACAAAAGTGTTTCATTGTGAATTAGGACACTTTTTTAAATCGCTACAATTTTAACGCTAGTGTTTATTTTTACAACTACATTGGTCTTTGGGAATGAAAGAATATAAGGCATACTTTACATGCGATATACTTTCAGAAATTTTACCTCATTAGGAAAGATACAAAAGTGTTCAAAAAATAGGGCATTAAGTATCTAAATTGTTTTTTTAATGTTTAGTAGAATTTTTTAATTCAAATATTAAAAAAATAATGATTTTTTATATAAAAAATGGTTCTTTTATTATTTGGAAAACGATTCGTTGTTATATGTATAGTGCACAGGAAAAAATATAATACCATATTTATCAAAGTTGTAGGTATAAGTAGAGTCCTCTATAAATAACGTAACAAAAAACAAATATTTCAATCTCAACTAAAGACCAAAGTAGAGTCAAATCAAGTCAATAACCATGAATGTTCATATTAATTGCATAAAAGGAAAAATAACTTTAACTTTTAACAGATTTTTCCATTGTTAGTGAAACACCCTGTATAAAAAATGACAAATATTTTACATGAAATAAAATTACACTTTACTCTTTAATAACAAATTTACGGCTTAGTGTAAAAAAATAAACGAATGAAAGAAATTGAAGAATTACCAACTAAACAGTTCTTGTCTGAATCAACTAACTAAAAAAATATTAATATACTGTCAGTATCACATCCTTTAAACTTGAAGATTGTCTACAAATATTGATGGAAGAGTGTATAAAACACAAATAAAACCAGGTAAGCTAAAAACCCTTTTAAAATTACTATTTTTGCAATATAATATTTAATTTAACGTCTGACATTGTATCTATATACATATAAGTAAATGTAAAGTTTAAATTATAAAAGATTTGATACGGAATCAGCGATTAATAAAAAAAGGTGCCTAATTTGTCACAGTTGATTTTTTAATTTCAGTATCAATTTCATAGTCAGGTTCACTACCAACATTACTATCGTAGTAAGCGTAGTCATAACTGACATCCTTGACCTTTTTAGGTAGAATTAACAGAGACTTTTTCTCAGGCTGTGTGCTTGTTTTCGGAGATTCTGTAGCCTTTGAAGCTTGTTTTGTAGTCTTGGGGACATCGTAGGTCGTTCTCTGTTGATGGGATTGAGTTGGTTGATGTGAATGAGTTTGTTGATGTGATTGAGTTTGTTGATGTGATTGAGTTTGTTGATGTGATTGAGTTGGTTGATGTGAGTGAGTTGGTTGATGTGAGTGAGTTGCTTGGTGTGATTGAGTTGACTGTTGTGCTTTAGTTGTTCTGGAGAGTTCATTACGGCTTGCTGCAATGTTTTGGCTGTGAGCAGTTTTTAGAAATTCATCGTCTCTTCTGTCGCCATCATAGTCATACTTCGAGCTGTACGAACCATCATCGTATTGTGTTTCATCGAAGCGACTGGATCTATAAAATATTCAAACAGGAAATGTTAGATAGGTACAATGTAATAAGTAACAATAGGAAACAAAGTGTACAAGTTAGCCACTAACCAAAGGGAAATATGAGGGAGAGAAGTGGGGAATTTATTAAAAAACAGTCAAGAAAATATTTACGAAACAATATTGACGACGTTTGAATTACCTTCTCTAATACCGATTTCTGTAAATAAAGGAACGCTTTCCTTTAAATTACTTTTTAATTTTTGTACTTAGTAAACGAGCTATTAATCTATCTTCAAACCGTCTATTAAATCCAAAGGTTGCTTTATTTTCAGTCAAAAGAAATATGAAAATTAAGTGTTTTCAATTATTACCCTAAAATGCATTCATTTAGTTAATTTAGATATGAATAACCTGGGCTTTAAACAAGCAAAAAATATAGTGTTCCATTAAAAAAATATCGCAATTTCAAATATTAAAAAAATTATATCTTTAATTACCATATCTCTCCCTTAATTAAATATTTAATCTAACTTATTTTAGGCAAGTTTTTACTTAAATCATTATCATTATCAAATTCCATTTCAGAATCATTATATTCACCCATTTTAAAATTTAAGTTCGACTCAACAAACGCCATTTATCTTTATTCAGGTAAAGTGATGGCTTCCTACGATACGTGCGTAATATTCACAGCCATTACAGAATGAACATTCTGTCACTAGAGTTAGAATAAAATATGTGTAAAATACACAAGAGGCAAGCGTTTCATACTTTTCTTTCAATCTCAAGAGTGAAAATGTTTTCTTTCTGTTATTATAAGTGGTTTCGGAAGAACTACATTCAGTAGTGGCCGTGGAAAAAATATTTGTTACCACTCCAAGTTTGATTTTGCTTTCTAAGGAGATCGGTTTCGTCCTTATTAAGACTCATCAGCAAGAAATATACATTTTCGATTTTATTATCTAATGGAACCTGTAGATGCGGTAAACTTCCTCGCTAGTCATAGCCGGAGGTTGTGTAAAGGTCAGAAATCACAAAATAACGCCAGGTACTATATGGTTTTATTGTTTTTTTATTTTTAAGTTGGCCACATTTGTAAATTTAAATTTATTTCCATGGCGTTACTTTGTGACTTCTGATCCTCACACAACCACCTACGATGACTATCGAGGGAGTTGAAAGCATCTACATTTTTCATTTGAGATTGAAATCGAGAATATCTATTCATTGCTGATAACTCCTAATAAGTGTTAAAAATTATTTCCTCTCTGCCATTTTTCCTTTGATATAAAGCAATGCCCGTTGCGGTACTAGCCAACGGTGTAATGGGATTACACAATGATCCCACTACGTGTAGACTGTATGGAAGAGGAAGAAACCTCACACCATGTGATCTTCGAATGCGAAGCTCTTACTGGGCGACGTTTCATCCTTTTCGGCCTAGAACCGGAAAGAACGCCCCAGGAATACTTGGTAGGAAACCTATTAAAACTAACCAAAGACACAGGACTATTCCAAATATAGTACCTACCTGAATACGGGGAAAGCAGGGGAATACAAGAGGCCGCAGTGTTCTGGGCCAAACCTAACCCTACCTGCTTACAACCGATAAAGATAAAGATAAAAAAGACTAGCCAAAGGAGTAGTTGGTTTCAGGAGAGAAACGGTCGCTCAATGTTTTTGTGACATGTACTTTGAGTTTTTCTCTTTTTCCTTTATTTTTATTTTTAACTAAATACATTTTCAAAATAAGGACCATTTGGTTATTCCATAATTTCGCAAAAGCACCATGGATCCTTTTGGATGTTTGTTCCCTTCTATTTATTACGATAGGGTAATTTTTTTATTTAATGCACCTCCAATTGTATAAATCAACTGAGTTTAAATCAGGTGAATTTGAAGGATATTTATGAGGTCCACCACGACCTAGCCACAAACTTCTTAGTTTTTTCATAGCTGTTTGTTTCGTACGTTAAATTCTATTTTAACGTTATATATGGATTGCACCTCCTAAAGGATACCACAATAAAAAAGCTGGAGGTACAATGTAATTTTTTCAATTACATTTTTTGTTTTTAATCCAAATATGAAAATATTTATTTTTATTGTGGTTTTTTGAGGATGGAAGAAATTGTAATTTTTTCCAAATGCTGACCTGACTTTCTTTCATGTTAAGACTTTAAAAAAATTGATAACAGCACTCTTTATTTTAGTTAGGAAGGGAATTAGACCCATTAACTTAAGTCCTTTGTGTGCTGTTAACGCATGAAATGTTGAACGTTATACAACTGCTGAAATTAATCTCGAAACAAGTTCCGCTGAATGCTGAGATACATAATAGAACCATGTCGTAGCTACTTGTTAAGATACGCATCTTAAATATTTGATTGTAGTAAAGAGATTGAGGAAAATGTAGCGCCTACAGCGCCTAAGGGCTCTTGTAAATAGATTATATATAACTACTGAAGGTTCAATAAGCATATCTGAAACTTGATAGTCATCGAAAAATGCATATTCATCCGATATCGATGTAATTAATTATCCAGTAAGTTTATGGCAGTTGCTGATAGAAATTTAAAAAATATGTTATCAAGTTAAGTATACATCTACTTCAAAATGTAGAAAAATGCACTATATTTTACCTTCTCAAAACAACTGAAAAAAAATATTCCATTTAGGAAAAATTAATTTTAGCGACATTAATAAAGAAGATGTTACGTAATATAGTTTCTTTGGAAGTGTGTTAAGTACATGCCCAACAAATCATCATTTACTTAGTCTATTTGGTAATTGATTCTATTACTTAATCATAAACTTTTAACATTCACTAATTAAATTTTTGTTGTAATGGGAATGTCGTTTATAACTATTTTTATGAGGTCGTATATAATTGGCGTCATTGCACCATGATTTTATAGGAGAAATTTCTTCTCTCAAATGAGAATGACAAAAATGTCACCATAAAATTAGATTTGAAAAAAAAATATTACTTTTAGGGTTGTTCATGGACACAACGATATGACCACCACTGTCAGATGTGGAATCTATTCGTGGTAGGCGATCTGTTTCATTCTTGGTAATATATGAAGACCAATTTAAAATTCAGTAGGTATTTAGATTTTTGGAGATTGTCGAAATATATTTTATTTTCTTTATAATATTCACGTGCTTTTTAGAGAACAATATTAAATTATGATGAGGTAACTTTTACTAGATTCAGTGATTATTACCCAAGTAACACATGAGAAATGATACCTTAGTTCCTGGTGTACACCACTAATATTGGGTAAGGGTACTGGTTCTTTTAAAGTATCTGTTACCATACTAATACCATTTATTGGAACTGTAAACACCCAAAGTCAAAAGAACATTTGGGTAGATATTGGAACTGGGCAGTATCATTTTATTGTTACTGTACAGTGGCCACCCATCAGTGCCACTAATATGCCTAAACAAAGTAACTGGGTGGGTACATAAAGAAGCAAAAAGGTGAATGGAACTATTTTTATTTCGTTTAATGGGTTTGGTAGTATCTATCAAATTAGCTTGTTTCAGTTTATGATTGATTTATTTTATTAATGACTCCTCTATGTAGGCTTTGTAACTGTTTTCCTGCGCCAATTTAGGAACCGCACTGTTATTTAGAACCCAACAGTGAATGGTCGTAGTGTTGAATCCTACATATACAACAAATTTATTTTTAAATAAATAAATTAAACTAAAAAATCCCGACCAAAGGTGAGATTCAAATCGCGGGCCCTTAGATTCGCAAGTTCAGACTAACCATTGGGCTATCTACGCCCAAACTTTGCCTTTCCCACTTGGAACTTTAAAGTATTGTGGCGCTTAGTGGCAACATGCGTAGCGAAATAGTTTATGTTGACATTTTAAAGCCACTATAGAGGTTCAGGAGGTTTATGGTGGTGGGCCTAATTTTAGAGTACCTTTGTTAAAGGCGGCTAAAATTTTTAGAAAATATATTTGATTTTAATCAAAAATAGACAATAGCTATGTTAATATATTCACGAAAAATTATTTTGAAAGTATTCCAAATGTTGCCCTAATAATAATAATAAATTTTTTAACCGGGCCTTCTTCAATTATTTTGTCAAAAAATTACAAAAAGGTTTTTTAGGGCCGCGTTGAAATTTTATCATTTAATATGTAACCTTATATCAAAAAATCTGATGTGTCCAACACATGACTTTCCTATCTAGTTATTATAGGCTTTTTCCGGTTATTTTGTACAACCTATTGCAGCATCTCTATAAATGTTTAGAGGATAAACTAAATATATACATTGTCCTCATACATCTACCTCGAAACATTTTTCTATAGATATTCATTGAAAACGAAAATACTGAAAAATTAAAATTTAGCACTTTTCCATTACGGTCCATTTTAGAAAAATCATGTATAAACAAAAATTATAGAGATCGATATCGCAAACAACTTTTAGTTCAACAATTTTCATAAAAATCAGAATTGTACATTTTGGCAAATTTCTCGAATACGGACCATTTTTTTACATAAAGCAAAAATTATAGATAATAATATTAGAAGTAACTTTTATTTGAACAATTTTCTTCTCCAAACATAAATAACAGATATATTCCATAAAATATAAAAACGGCCTCCCATAAAGTACCCCCCCAGATGTTCCGACTTTGTCCAAAATCTAATCATTTCACGTCAGGCCGAAAAACCTTTGCAAGTTTAAAATTTAATGTTTTTTTTATCCGTTTTTTGAGTTTTCTTCAAAATTCGAAATTTACACATTTTCTCAAATATCTCGAATACGGTCCATTTTAAAGAAATTATGTATAGAATAAAAATTATAGAGAATTATATTACAAACATCTTTTATTTGAACAATTAAAAAAAAAAATTTTTTTCATTTTGTCAAATTTCTAGAATACGGACCATTTTAGGAAAATTTTGTATGGAACAAAAATTATAGATAATTATATTAGAAGTAACTTTTATTTGAAGAATTTTCTTCTCCAAACGTAAATAACAAATATATTCCATAAAATATGACCACCTATAAAGTACCCCCCAAGATGTTCCGACCCTGCCCAAAATCTAATCATTTTATTAGACGCTGGAATAAAGCTTAAGTTTAAAATTGGGTGTTTTTCTATGTATCGGTTCATGAGTTATTTATTAAGATGGTCGTGCGTCCAACTATTAACTGCGCCCAGCAGGCTTGACTGCAGCTATTGATACACAATAGTGAACTTGCTAAGCCAGAGGGCTACCTGTTACTTTGGTAATCACTATTATTATAGTGAAAAATAATTTTTTTAACATTTATATTATATAGACTAGATGATAGTTGATTAAAGTAACAATGACAGTGGTTAATCGTCGTAGCCTACCCAACAGTTGTAAGGCGAAGAGAAAGATAGAAAATAAGTTGTATAGAAAATTAATGGATTCAAAAGTCCCGCGCCTTTTCGCGCATAAGTAATGCAAAATTGTCGAATAATGGAGAAGATGGATTGGCATTTTTTTATATTAATTTTTATAAAAATCAAATTAAAAGTTTTAACCTGACAGAAACTACTGTAATAAAAACTAATATTTTATTATAATATACATTTTATGAACGATAAGTAAGGTAAAATATAATTTTCAATTTCACTATAATATTTTTCAGTGTATAGCCTTTAACCCGCTCCATTTTTTTTTCTCGGTGTATTATACCGGCCATGCTTCTTTTAAGTTAAATTCAAGGTCACGAAATTTTACTTTCCGAATTTCAAAGGACCGACAGTTTATTGTCGCTTCTTTGCTGTTGTTATTCTCGAGTATTCCCACAGTTTATCTTTTACCGTTTTGGAGATACATTAGTAAGTATGAAGGAGGATAATAATTTTGAATCTATACTGCATTTTGAATACAGGGTATTTAAAACGGATGTACTTAATTGTCATGTTGAGTTAGATTTGTTTTAGATAATTATTTAAGCCATATTCGAGCGGTCGGCTGGTTTAAATATATTTCATGCGGTTTGAACACAATTTGAAATATATCCATTCAAGTGACCAAACAATGACGTTACGTTGAAGTAGATTTAAACTAGCTACATCAGTTTTTGAAACGTTTCATTAAAGGGGCGTTTGATTTGAAACTCGATCGAGCGAGCGTCGAGGAGACCAAGAAGTGATGACGTCACAATAGAGCATTGAATCCTATTGAATCAAATCAAATAAAACAGAGTAGAAAACATAACCTCGCTTTTTTGTGATTCTTGTTTCTGGTTTGTATGTTAAAATAGTGAGCAAAAAGTAAAGAAAATGGAAAAACTTTTAATAATAAGGGGTAATGGCCCTGAAATGCAGCATTTATCACAAATGCCCGCTTCGCTCTCATACTCCATGACTGTGATTACCGGTGATTAGATCTGGACAGAAAAAATATATTTTCCAAACACACATTTTGTGTTTTTTTATGATGAATAATTTTAGCTTTAAGACAAAAGCGGCTAAGTAATTTGTTGACTTCTGTCTGGTCTTTAATTTTGAGATTCAAATTTGTTTGTAAGTTAATTAAAAAGAGATAGGTAGAGACAAAGACAAATTTCTCCCTCTTCTCGATCTTTCTGCTCTGAGAACATCGAACTCGCTCTATGTTCTCGCTCCAAAGTGAAACAAACACTTTAGGGATCTCTCGGAGTGTCAATTCAAACACTTTTGAAGCGCTCGGAGATCTCCGATGATCAAATCAAACGCACCATATGAAAGGTTCAAGGAAATAGAAATGTCAATAATGTCAAAAATAGTAATAAACATCATAGAGCATAGCATATACACAATAAAATTTAATGATAAAAAAAGATTATTTATACCTATTATGGATATATAAGAAAAAATAGAAAATGCATAATTAGGTATGAAGGTTTAAAATTTTTAATAATATTTATAAACTTGACCTTGAAATTCTAAATAACTGGTTAAAGTCCGATTCTAAATATAACGATCCATTTTTCATAAAACTCTGGTAATAAATATTATAAGAGCTTCTTTTTGACATATGAGGTAAACAATTATCTGTTGTTAGAGATTTATATACTCACAAAACGTTAAATCTATGACGTATTATTAAAATTGGTTCTAAAAGTTGTTAAAAATATTTTAAAACCAAATATGGCTTTAGTTTAAATTTTGTCGAGGGTTGACTAGTGGATCTGTTGTTGAAACTGTTGCAAAAGCATTAAAAATATATTTTAATTGTAATAATAACGGGCGGCATTTCGATCAGTTATTTTTATTTTATATGATTTTATTTTCATTAGAAACTGGTTTTGGATTATTGCGTTTATACAAAATATAATCGAATAAATTCCTTTTAGGATTTTTCTGTTTAGTCACAATAAAGCGGATAATAAGGTTCTGAAAAAAGGAGGATTAGTGGCATCATATATACGTACGGAATTTTTTAAACGGAAAAATATACCTTACAATGGGGTCTATTCTGTAACAATTCCTTTATATTTAACGGCCTTAAAAATATTTTCTTCTTTACTTCTGTCATTATTTAAACGGATCTTTAAAATACATTAGAGGACTCTCTTAAAGAAATCTGTTTAAGTAATAACAGAAGTAAATTAACGAATACGAACATATTTTTAAAAGCCGCCAATATTTTGAAGGGCCGTTCCTTTATATTTAACGGCCTTTTTTTTTACTTTGAATTTTTGACTGCGGGAACTGAGTCCATTCGCCAAACCACATCGATTAAATTTTATCTTAGTTCAATATCATATAGTACGGATAATACGCTCACATCTAGTTTTACAAATTAATTTTATATACATTATAATTATAATAATATAATACAGTATTTACAAGTTCTTTTTTTTTACCAAATTACAGCTTTTTTTTTTGTTTTGTTTTTGTTTTTTGTTTTCTTTGTTTTTGTTTTTTTTTGTTTTTTTTTTTTGTTTCTTATTTGTTTTTTTCATTTTTTTTTTATTTTTTTTTATTAATTATTTCAGGATTCACAGGGACACTACACGCTTATGGGTCTTTATAAGCGATTTTGACAAACAAGTGGACCACGCATAGACTTGGAAACAGTTAGGATATATACAAAGGGTAGATCTTAATATAACTTAACTAAACATTTTGCGAACACATATATACAACTTTTTTATATTTTTACTTTAAATTTTACAATGTGTTTATATAATATATAAAAATATTTTGCGTTTTTTATTTCTAACAGTTGGGCTAAATTGTAAGGTTTTGTGATGTCGGAAGATTGATTAATTAAATTATTTAATAAATTAACATATGTTTTATTGGATTCACAACCTAAAATGATATGTTCTGTTATTCCTATTTCTCCGCAATTGCTTAATGGATCATCTTTTAAATTTATTTTATGAATATGTGCGGGAGCTAGTGAATGATTAAACCTTAATCTGCAAATTGTGGATAACATATGTTTGTTTATGGACAAGTCATGAAACCAAGGTTTACAAGGTATAATTGTTTGTAGATTTTTATAAAATTTACCTTTATTTGAATTATTATAATCTGATTTCCATTTATTTCTAACTAAGGTTTTTGAAAAAGCAGCCATATCTTCTTTTGTGCATTTATATTCTGCTACATTTGTACTTATTGACCCTTTTCTTGCTATGTTATCCACAACTTCATTATTTATTAATCCACAGTGAGCTTTAATCCAAACTAGCTTTGTCATGATGTGCATATCACTTATATTTTTAACAATTTTCAAAATTTCAACTATGATATAGTTTAACGGCCTTTAAAAATATTTTATTCTTTACTTCTGTCATTATTTAAACGGATCTTTAAAATACATTAGAGGACTATCTTAAAGAAATCTGTTTAAATAATGACAGAAGTAAATTAACGAATACGAACATATGTTTAAAGGCCGACAATATTTTTAAAGGCCGTTAAATATAAAGGAATTTTTACAGAATAGACCCCAATGAGTTGAACAAACTTTAGTAAGAATATGCACATAATATAGAGAGACAGGTGTAAGTTACATGCACCTGTGGTGTAAGCGAGTATCGATACGATTTCGACTTCTTCTTGGGCCACTTCGTACATCAGACATAGATTTAAGCGCGACGAGCATGTTCCTTTTATGTTACATTTAATTTATTAAAAGGTATATTATCCATGTTAAAATCAAACCTGTATACTACGACCCGTTTTAAATATGAACATGAATTTTAAAAACACCTTAGATGAACAGTTTTTGTGTTATATTGTTCGCAACCCATATTTTTTAATCGTATGATACATGCTCAGTTAAGATGCAGAGAATGTGTTTTATTGTATTATTATTTTCCCATGACTGATTCATGTTCATTCACGTGCAATATTGTCTTACCTTGCCACTTTTATATCCAATAAGGTAGTGTTCGCTTTAGCTAATCTAAACTGGGACCTACAGTTATATAAAAATTTTGAAATAATCATACTCATCTTGATCAAATGGCTAGAAAATACTTTTTATGGATAATACCAAAATAGAAAACTATTTAAGATAACTTTAAATACATTATAGAGTAAAATGCGTAGATAAAATCAAAAGTAATTCCAACCATTTGTAGGTTTAATGGTTTCAAATTAAGGAATTATTACGGCTAAACCTATATAAACCTGTATAAAAAATGCTAGATTTAGTGATCCATCCGCGTTTTTGCAAAATGTTAGAGTCTTTAAGTAAATCCAGCTAAATTAGTTATTTTTTAAATTCTCCGGTTTATTCTAAACACGTTTTGAGAATTGTTTATGTTTAAATGAAACCATTCACAAGTTTTTGGTTATTTGTGTTTCAAAAATTAATAAGACACTATAATGTGATTCATGAATACACCCTGTTCTATCTGGCATACTTTTTATTTCTTCAGCATTCATCTTATTTCTTCTGCATTCTCTTGTAATTTTATTAGTTTGTTATATTTTAAATTTTCACGCTATGTGCACGTTAAAGGTAACATTTGGAAAGGCGACAAACGAGAGGCAGCAAGCAGCAAATACTGCCGTGTTAAAAGTGCTGTGGTCGGTCGCGCTGTCCTAAATGTTCTTCATATAATTACATGTGTTCAGACGTGACGAGACCGTTTTCGGTCTCCTTCGCTGTCGCTTTAATCGGTCTCGCCTTCCCAAAAGGTACCTTACACCAAACGTACCGAGCAGTCGAAAGAAGTGGCATCCACTTTTCTGAGAACGTTGTTGAAGCAAGAAGTGGTATGTGCCGTTTTACCCGCTAAATTATCTGAAAATAAGATTTCCCCTACGCTTTTGCATTCAGCAACAAGGTAAGATGTGCATTTGTCAAGCTGCAATCAGCATCTCTTACTTCTTGCAAGTTTTTAAAAGTCCCTTTAACCTATCCCATTCTCTTAATGACTGTTACCCACGGTTCGTTGTTGTCCGTTTCTAAGGAAGGGTGTGACGTTATGGAATAAAAAATCTGGCTGACAAAATATTCTGCTTCGGTTAGTAGGTACATTAGTTTTTTAAAAATTCTAATATTTTATTAATATTTAGTGTTGTTTATGTTTTTATTTTTGGACTATACAGGGTGTTTCCGAACTTGGCGTCCAAATTTGTAGGCGTGGTAGTTCGCATAATTTGAGAGCGATTGGCAGATTTTATTGTTCTAAAAAAATTATAATAAACAAAATAGAGCCATTATAAAAAAAATCAAAGAGCGGGTACTACCTTGAGCGCGTAGCGCAATAGTCGCTTGATCGGTTACTCATCGGGATTTACAACTCAAAAACAAATGCGATTTGCAATTTTGTCGATTCTAAGCGTAGCGCGCGCGAGTCGAGGCGCTGAGCAGGACCGTACCTGTTTATAATTTTTAATTAATTTTTAAATATTTTTATTTTAAATATTTTGGAAAAATGAAATCTGCGAATCTGTCTCAAATTATGCGAACTACCACCCCTACAAATTTGGACGTCAGGTTTGGAAACATCCTGTATACCTGTGTTGGAATTTTTATAAAATCGGAATTTTTATTTTTTGAAAGACAAGCTACAAAACTGCATGGAAAAAGCATGTAATGATTTCCATCATATTTCAAATGAATTACTTTTTATTTGAATTATAAAGAGAAATATTATTGTATGAATGGTTTATTTTATACATTTTGGATTAGAGTACGGCCTCCGAGTTAAATTCGGATCACATTTTGTTTATATCCTGAAATATTTTGAAATTTTGGCAATCCTAGAGCGAGTCGTAGTGTTGCTGTTGGAAAGCAATTTTTACTTTTTACTCACAAAAATCGTTAGAAGAAATAAAGGGACTGAGCCTAAACTGAAATTAACAGCTAATGGTAAGATTTTTAGAGAAGTTGTTCTGCAAATATCATTGATTATTATTAAATTAATTGCAGCTTTGTCCATCCTACATTTAAAAGCAGATAAGATGGTTTCTTGCAAACATTAAAAACAACCGAGAGCATAAATCTGACAAAGGGCTTTACTAGAAGAATATACATTTTTGAAAAAGGGTTTGCTACAGGATGTTTTTAGTAAAAAGTACATAGTTACAAATCATTTAAAAAAATAAAACAATGGCCTTTTGGAGTTGGGAAGAAGCATTCACAATAAGATGTTTGAGTAAAAGGTGCTATCTTTATCTCAGAAATAGTCTAAAGTATCCTTTGCAGGGGATTTCAACTTTACAAAAGTGAGAATGATTTATTTAAATACTCCAAGAATATGTAATTTTAAATCTCCTCTGTGTAGTGTATGTATTGATATAGAAATTTTCTGACGTCATCAAATTTATTATCTAAATTGAGCAATACTGGGGTGGTGAAGTGTCTTGAAATCAAAATTAAAGTGAAAATCAAAATGTCGGGGTTTTTGTTGATTTTGGAGAATTGTCAGTGAAATGGGGAGATTGTCAAAAAGCTTTTTGGATTGTATTATATTTTGAATTTGCTTTGGAAAAGATATAATAAACGAAAACATATAAAAAGGTAAAAAGAGATTTTATTTCAAAATTTAGAGAACTGATAGAGCAGTAAGAGGAATCGAGACAGTCAGAGGAAACAAGCAGTCCAAGAAAGTAGACGGTGAGCAGAGGAGACAAGGAGTTAAACATAAAAGAAAGATAAAGAGAAGTTTAATTTTAATTTAAAAGGAAAGTGAAGCAGATAACAGAAGTAGCAGATTGGAATACAGAGAATGAGCAGGAGTAGGAGAAGCAGGAGAAGCAGTAGAAGTACGAAAAGCAGGGACCCTAAGAAAAAAAATTCAAATTTTTTTTTAATTTATTATAATTTGGTTTTTAATTTTATATTGTAAATTTTTAGAACCGTACCACCCCTTTTTAAGAGTCTGGGCAAATTTATTAAAAAAATTGATATACAGGGGGTTTCTATATCAGTATATAGACAATAGATAAAACTGTTTTTCTCTAATTTGGTACTTATATTTATAAATTATTCGTTCATACATCAAATAACTAGAAACTGACAAAACAAGTTTTTTTCTACTACCGTGCGTAAAGTTGTACTTTTTTCACTAGTGCGTAAAATGAAAAAAAGTTATTTTAGTGAAAAATGGTAAATTTTATGTTTCTAATATTAGTGAATAATGTGTACGGTAGTAGAAAACATATTGTATGCAACTCGTGTGTAAAGTCCCCTTTTGGACTTATGTGATTGTCGCACTCGCCTACGGCATACACACTTGTTGCATAAATAACTATTTTCTTAAATCTTAGCATTAGCCTTTAATTTCAGTTGAGTCTCAGTCCCTTTATTTCTTCTAACCATTTTTGTGTGTATAAAATAAAAATTATTTGGCAACGGCAACCGGCAATACTACGGATCGGCTCTGACTCCAGGTTTGCCAAAATTTCAAAATATTTCGGGATATAAACAAAGTTTGATCCGAATTCAGCTCGGAGACCGTACCCTTACCCAAAATGTTTAAAATAAACCATTCACACAATAATATTTCTCTTTATAATTCAAATACTAAATTAATTCATTTGAAATTTGATGGAAATCATTACATGATTTTTCCTTGTTGTTTTGTAGCTCGTCTTTTAGAAAATCAAACTACTGATATTATAAAAACACCAGAACGAAGTTCAAAAATAATAATATAAACCCCACTTAATAACAATAAAATATTAGATTTTTTAAAAAACTAATGTACCCGTAGAATATTTTCTGTCGACTAACTTTTTCATTCGATGACGTCACTGCGTCCTTAGCAACCCTGATGAGGCCACCGTGTTGTCTACGAACCGTGACTATTACCAAGGGAACGCAATGACTTATGACGTGACAGATGACGTTAACATGACAGGTCAAGTTGGCAAGCAGGGCTATCTAGCGATGAAAATTAATACAACCGTGCAAAAATCAGCTAATGTATCTACGATGATGAGATAAAATAAAGCATTATTAGTTTTGCATACAGTTTTACATGAGTTTATTAATAGCGTTCGAAAACGAGAAGAATCCTTAATTTGAATCCATCGTTACATAATTATTTATTAATTAATATAGGCCATTTGAATATCTTACCTGCTAACAGGAGTAGTAGAGCTCAACTTAGGAACTGTTGGTGTGTACTGGGTGAAAGGAGTAACCTTTGGAGTACTGCTAAATCCAGTAGCTGAAGATTGACTATTCTGAGTATTTTTGTTCTGATTATATGTTGCAGTCTGTTGAGCTATTTGACTATAGCCAGCATTGGTTCTTGGAGCAAAAGTCGTTGGGAAATTGTTGTTATTATTGTTCAAACTAAAAGGCTTGGGGCTCAATGTAGTAGGGTAGTTTTCATTCTGTTTATAAGGAGTAGTTTGCTTCTTATCAAATGTGCTGGTATACTTAGGATTGTTACTGGGATAATTCTCAGTTTTATCATTTACTGTCGATTTATAATTGTTGTAGTTCTGTTTTACTTTAGTAGTTTCATATTGACTAGCAGTAGTCCTCTGATTATCGAATTGTCTATTGTATTGCCCACCAGTACTGCTAGCGGGTTTTGTTTTTGTCACATCATACTGGGTATTGTAATTTTGTGTTGTTGAAGTAGCGGGCTTAATTTTGGGAATATCGATTAGTTCATCATAGTTAGTGCTTTTTTTGAGATAATTCTCAGTATTTTTCTGAGGAGCTGAGGTAGAACTATAATACTGGCCATTATTGTTAGCAGTTCTAGTAGGAGGTGGGTTATATTGCTGCGAAGATTGTTGTCTAAATGGAGCAGGTGTACTAATAGTATATACTGGGCTATCTGTAAAATCTTGTTGACGTTGTCTTTGTCCGTTTCTATGTTTATAATTGTTGATCGCTGTAGTGTATTGATCTGTGTTAAGAGTAGTGGATGTTGGTTTAGAAGTGGTAGGTTCATAACTACCAGCGAAATTGTTAACAAAACCTGTGAATTTAGTCGTTGGACGTCTAGTTTGAGCAACTGGTTGTTGAGTATTTTTAGTATATTCATTATTTTGATTTCTGTTGTAATCAGTATTTTGATTTTTGTTGTAGTCATTATTTTGATTTCTGTTGTAGTCAGAATTTTGGTTTCTGTTGTTATCAGTATTTTGGTTTCTATTGTAATCCGTATTTTGGTTTCTATTGTTATTATTATTATTTCTGTTTTGATTATTCTGTTGGTTGTTTCTGTTGTTGTTTTGATTATTTTGTTGATTATTTCTGTTATAGTCATTTTGATTATTTTGTACTGGCCTTCTTACTTTGTTTCTAACCACTTTTCTCTTCTGTTCGTAGTCTTGATTTTGGTTAATATTTACATTATCATCGTAATCTTCATCTCTTTCTTTTCCATTGTTTCTGTTATTATAAAAGTTAGAAGTGCTGGAACTTTTAAATATTTCTTTTTCATTATTGTTATTGTTTTGAGTATTGAAGTTTTGTCTTGCGGCATTGTAGTTTCTTGGAGCTTTCTTTTGATCTACTACACGAGCTTGTTGTTCTCGGTTTATCCTTGCATCTCCTGTTTCGGCTCTTTGCAGCGAGAAAGGCTCTTCTTCTTCTCCGTATTTCAAAGCTTTGGATTCAAATCCTGAAACAAAAATAAATAAATTTTAATAATTTGTGGAATTCTTAAAAATGTACGTTATTTTTATGTTACCTCCAGAAGGAATCAGAATGTGTTTTTATTTAAGTAATGTTGGTTTTAGTTACATTTTTATTTTCACTAAATCATTTAAGTTTATAGCCACAGCAATTATATAAAGCCAGTAGAGCGTAAATCAGTGTTCAGCTTTATAGATTTTTGACTTAAATCGTATGAAACTATAAAAAGGACTAAGGATATTTTTTATTATTGACAGGAGTCATCATTTTTAAAGAACAAAGCACATATTGTATTGATAATCGATACATGAGTTAAGACAAGTTTTTATACAGGCAGCAATTCTATACATGAACTAACAGGGATATAAACTCAAGCTATTTCAGTTTAATACAATTTTCGTATTAGGTTTATAATATTAATTAGAAAATTAAATATTTTAAAATATATAAAACTTTAATTATATTTTGAACGGTGATATGAAAAATGTAAGGAGGACTTAATCCAGCTTGTTGTTATTAATTAATACTATAATTATTGAAAAAATACAATTATTATAATGAAGAAAATATAAAATATTCATGGACAAATTTATTTTTAATACAGCAGATGTAGAAAAAATATTGATCTCGTAAAATGATTTGGAAGTCACGAGTAAAACCATACTACAAACGTTAAATTCTTCAATAACACAACAAATTAATAAAATATTCGGAAAACTCATTGATTTATTATAAATATTATGATGTTCAGATCAATTATAGTGTTCCGCATAATAGAATGATTAATTAAGTTCTGCAACCACTGAAAATTCTTGATCACCGTACTTTCGAGATGTATTTTCAGGAAACATATTTTATTAGTATACATTAGTTGATCCCACGTTATTACCTTATAGCTGCTTTCTGTTCCCATAATTATTGTTGAAAATTATTCTTAGAATTACATAACCGCAGTTAAATTTCTCGATTTGATAATGGCTGCGTAGTTTTATGCAGGATCGGCCCCAATTTAAAATGCGTGCCTAGTATTGTCGAATTACTCGTCATGACATGTCCAGTCCACTTTAGACGCTGTGATTTTCTATTAAATTTGTTTCTTGCATCATATTCATTATTTTTTCCTTCCATTTTTAGCTCTTCTTTCTACTTATTTATTGTTGCCATTTCGAGGACATTTGTAATGCTTGGTCTTTGATTTTATCATCTTATTAGTGTATATTTTTATGTTAGTTTTTTTTGTGATAGTTGAACTTTTCAGAAGATGTATGTGTCTTCCAAAGCTTGCTTGGTTTTAGGTACCTATTCTTTCTTTCACTTTTTCCTAATGTTGTTCCTAGATAATTTTCGTCTGTGTTTTTAGATATTTCTACGTATTACTTACTTCTCTATCTGCTTTTGTATTATTTTTTCTTTTTTGCTTTCCTAGTTGTCTTGCTTTAACATCTATTATTTCTATGACTAATTAATTTTCTCTAGACTAGGCCACAATAGGTCATCTGCAAACACGATTATTTAAATGTCTATAATATTGTTCAATTCTGTTCTTCTTATGATGCTTTCTAATTTTAAATTAAACAGGGTTGGGGAGAATGCGTCACCTTATTTCACTCCCTTTTTATATGAAATTCATCTGTAGTTACACTCTGGAATCGCACTTTTGCCTTGGTCTTGTCCAATGTCATTTCCAATAGCTTCAGCAGTTTATTGGGTATCTTTAGTCTTTTTAGTTTCTATCCTATTTTTCTCTGTTTAATGAGTCAAATGCACTCCTAAAATCCAGTGTGTTTCTCTGTTGTATTCTACTTTCTTCTGCAATATTTTTCCTAGGATATGTATTTCATTGACAGTTTATCTACCGAGCCTGATGTAGCCGTTTTAGTAGTCTCCCGAAAATATTTTTGCTTGAACTTTAAGTCTTTTGTTAATCAAGTTATCCAAGATTTTATAGGTGGAATTAAGCGGAGTTCTTATTCTATAACTTTAGTAGTTTTTTTCCCATTTTGTAAAGAAATATAATTTTTTTAATGCAAAACTATTACGAAGCTAAATCCCTCCAGAAACTAATTAATATTTTACATAAAATATCCCAACATTATTTTTTATATTCCTTTATAAAATATCCCCATATTTTATTTCCTGGGAATTGTGTCAAAAATATAATTTTTCTTTAATTAACCACCGACCAAGATATTACAACGAAACTATTACATGAGTGATAATTATTTATATCCTATTCACCATCTTCAGTGAATCGCGCGACCTTTTGCATCTCCTTCGTCCTCTAGACTCTAGACTTTCACTTTTTCTAGTAGTATCATTTTAAAAGAACCGTGCGTCTGCAGAATCGGCTTTTGAAATGAAAACTGTGGAGAATGGATAAAAGGTACTAGGTTTATGGTATTATTAGTAAAACAATATCCACTTCTAGTTCAAAAGATCGTCATCATATCAATGGAACCTACTTGCCCATTTAATTTAATTTTTAATAAACTGATCACATTTTTTACAAGGCACTCTGAAATATCTCACCATTTTTGTTTGAAATTTGTTTGGATTAAGGATATTTTGTCTGCACTCTAGTTTGGCATTAACGTTTTAAAACAATGGGTCTTATAATAGTTTAAATAAGGATTGGGTTTCTTCAAATGTGTTTAAAACTAACTCACTTTGCTTAAACACAAGCATCTAAATATTTTACGATTATGATTACATAAATGCTAGTTTTTGCATACCTGAAGATATATAATATAACAATCTGTATTTAACTTAAAGATTAAAATCTCAGTTAAATTTCTAATTTAATAATTTAAAAATGACCATTTAATGTATAAAGCTTTTTACACTCGTGCGAGCCATTTTGAACCAGTCCGGCCCTAATCTTTGTTTGCGTAGAGGAAAGGTTTCGAGAACGTCTAGAGATTTCGGGACAAGTCCAATAAGCCTAATTTTCATATAAATAGCGCGACATTGTCGATAGAAGTAATGTTGAAGATAAATATCTGAGTAGAAAAGATAAATATAAATAAATTTAGTTAGTGGTTTAAAAAATATAGTTAAAACTAAATTAAAATAAATAAACTGTTTTAAATCAAATAAACATTACAATAGCTTAAAACCCCCAGCCTAAATGAAATTTTTCATAATTACCCATAAAGCTATTCTAAAGATCTTGTAATCCGAATGTAGCCTAAATAGCCAATATCAGTTAAATTTAAATTATAATCAAAATCAATTAAGCTTTATAGATTGATTAGTCATTTTTAAATGATCATGAGTATGAGATACAAAAATCTTTTATTTTTGCTATTTTTTTTTTTGTCAATCCTGCACTCACATACGCCGACTTTCATCAATAATAATTGTTCTACTTGAATAATTTTAAAACAGCCAAAAAACAAAGCTCAGTGACTAATGAAAAAAATAAATAAAGAAGAAAACTCACGAGTTTGTGTTACAGAAATCAACGAGTAATCGGTTCCATTTGGAAAACAACTACTCCCCTGGTTACATATCATCTCAAGCATTGGATTATAAGTAGAAAAATAGAAGATGTAGAAAAGGAAATTTCTCAAGTTCGGCTCTGACTATTTACATACTAACGAACCAGCTCAGCGGTATGCATTTTCGAATTACATTATCTTTATGAGAAGACGAAATTAATTCCTGTGTATCGTATATGCCTGATTTAGCGCAACAGTATTACGTTAAAACAGTGATGTATCATAAGGTTGGTAATGCATTTAAAAAAAAATTATATATTTTGTGATAACAATAGATATTTGTGTATTGAGAACGAAAAGTTTTAAACTTTCTGTCTCAAAAGACAACGAAATTTTTGCACGACTTGCACACAAGATTTTTTCTACGATATATTAAGTTTATACGTATATACAGGGTGCGCCACGCTCAACGGGACGGAGCCGGGTAGGAAAACTACAAAATATATAGAAAATTCCTTTGGCACAAATATATAATTCAGTTGCGGCTACAATATAAAATAAGTTTCATATATATATAGAATGTCCCAAACCAGACAACGAATATAAAGTTTTACTTTTTATAATTATATTTTCTTTTAATTTTAAGTTCAACTCTTAAAAATAGTTTTAGTTTAATAAAGATTCCCTACCTATATTTGATAATTGCCGATTTATTTGACATTTTTTAAATATGTAGTGTTGTTGAAATTAATTAATTACCCTTGATTGCAAAATAATTAAATAACAAATTTTTGGTAGTTTTTTGCAAAATGTAACTTTTTATTAGAATCATTAAAATATTCAAAAAATGTAGAGGGTATTTGCAATTTAAAGTTTTATCACAGTAAAATATTTTATTTAATTACTTTGTTAATTTAATTGCCACACCCTGTATTTTATAGTATCAATATCAAGGAAATTGTATTTACTTTAAAAGTTCTACAAGGTTCCCTATACCTATGTCTACTATTTTTAGACCTATTATTAACTATTGTTTCTATGGATCAATAAAATTCAATCGTTTATTAATTATTTCTTATTAAAACATATATTTATTTATATCGTAGTTTTCTACAAAACTAAAAATTTGTAATAATTTAATAATTGTTCTAATTAATACCTAATTTAAAAAATCTTTTAAATGTTGATTTACATTGTTTAAAATCATTAAACTAAAAGTATTACAAATACTCATTTTCATTACCTCAGCGGTTTTTGGTGGAAATTAAAAAATTTATTATGATTAAGAATAAGTTTATTTTTGTTTTATTCAAATTGCCTGAATGTCTCACTAATTTCTTACTTATTAGCAGTAGTTCAATGAATTAATAAATTTAATGCCTTTGGAAAAATGTATACGTGAAGAGTAGGCCAAAATTTTCAAAACATCATACTTTTCTTTAATTTTAGTTGAAACCATGATACAAAAAAACAGAGGTAACCGTGACGCATAGTATCACTCTTCGTAATATTATACCTCTTTTTTATAGTATCATGGCTTGAAATG